TTATTAATAAATGGCTGGTTCCTTATTCAACAATTAGTCGCCCTTGAGATTAGGTACAGACTGCCTAAATGCACTAAGCACAATCTGTTAGAAGAGTCCGAATCTCATACCATAAAGCAACGACCTTCTGACCTGTTAAATATCATCACGATCTGGGGCATAGACAGAGTTTAGTCCGTGTTTTTGTTTCTGTATAAATTGTGTTTTTTAACTGATGGAGATGACGTTATACAATACTCTTTTCCTCGCACTATTCTATAACAGAGGTAAAATTTAAAGAAAATAGGAAATTAAATCTTAGAGGGAAGATATTTTGGTCTGCATGGAAAAACTTACGTAGTTTGTGACCTTCGTCATGACCTTGAAAGCAAAAAAAAATTATATAAAAGTTTTATATGACCTCTTTATAACTGTTAAAAGTAGTCAAGACACGTTTTGCTGGGTAAGTACTGAAGAAAAAGAGGGAATGTCAAATTATTTTTGACGAGATGATACCAGTTTTTGTACTCATCGTGAAGGGAATCAAATAATCAAGAAATTAGGAATTTCAATCTTGGAGGGAAGATATTTTGGTCTGTAAGGAAATACTTACTTGACTTGTGACTTCCTTTGTTATTATCTTGAAAGTAAAAAAAAAACAATTTCACATGGCCTCTTTATCACTGTTACAAATAGTCAAAACACGTTTTGCTGGGTAAGGACTGAAGAAAAAGCGAGAATGTTGAATGATTTTGAACGAGAAGATACCAGTTTTCGTAATCATCGTAAAGGAACCACTTTACATTTACCAAGGTTACTAATATCTTAAATAATATCTTAACACAAACTGCTCGAAGAGGGTAGCAAAAGGTTCATGCGTAACACGTGATTACGCCCAAAATTAATGCGGGAGGCGCAAATTTTACAGAGAGGTAAGCTAATGTGAGATTTCAAGTTATCCCTTTTGATTCTTGAGATACTGTTAATGTTGGAAGTACATGTGTCGTGCCCTTCCCAACGCGAAAAGAGGTGCAAAACTAAGGGTCGATTGGTTTAAGGTGGTTCGACTTTTCCAGACTAACTGAAGAGAGTATCGAAGAAAAAATTAATGCAATAAAGGATTACTTTTGAAAACAAATTGAACATGATGCTTATAAACTAAGAATTACACTGACTTACGGGCTTTTCCTTTACCAGCATCCACTAAAACATAAACCATCCAAGCAGCACCAATCAGATACAGGGCAATCTTCATTGTGGATAAGTGTCTTCTTTTGCACCAGAAAAATAAAGCCTCTTTTAAAGTAAACTCTTCTGCCAATTTTAGATCTGCTGTGAAATTTGCTTGTATATCGTCCAGTATATATTAGACTCACAAATATAAATATTAAAAAGAATGTTCTCATCCTTTTGTTCCCAAGCAGCAGGTAATAAATTCAAAACCAATTACCGTTCTTTCAATCTTGTTTTTTAAGAAACTTGATCCGCCCTTTCTAGCTTGTAGCTGTCTTGTTATGCGATGTCAAAGGAAGTTTTCTTGTTTTTTTTCTATTGAATCTTTCCTATTGATTGGTAATTCATAAGTTTTATTTATGAATGAAAATTTTTTATTTTATTTTGTCGCGTATCAAGTTTTTACTTTTTTCCTATTTTCCTATTAACTCGAAAAAATCATACACACGGTTATTAATGTGATTCCTGTTGTTGAGAATGAGGACTGGGTGACCTCTTCGAGCTTCAGCCAGAAATAAGACATTTGAAAAACAGACGTTTGCGTAACACTGAGGTTCAAACACTGGGCAGTAGAAGAGCAAGAATGAGAAAGTTAATAGGAACGAGTAATGATAAGGATTCGCTATGCAAAATTCGTGGCTTTAACACAGCCTTAGGAATCAGGGGCGAGCATGCCTCTTATAGGAGACTAGGGACCGATTGTTAGAAATGGCGGATCCATTTGGGAGGGGTTGTGTGGAGATGATGGCATAATTCTGCTCTTGGAATCACAGGATCATTGAGTTCACCATATAGCCCCAGTTTAATTTATGTTTTTTTCTGTTCCGTGCAGTTAGCAAAAACAACTATTTATCTTTTGTTAACGCTGTTTTGTTACAAAGCGTGTTGTTGTTACCATGAATAAGGGGATCTTCTAAACAAAACAAGTTCGCGTTATAAATGTATGTAAGTTGAGTTACAATAAATGACCAGTTTTCTCTCGGAAAGGGGTGGTAACACCACCAAGGTAACCCCGTAAATTATTCAGCCAGAGACGCCTCTTCGATCTTAGCTTTGTCTCTTTAGAAATGAGGTAACAAATTTATATGCAGGGATCACGAAAAACCAACGAGAAAATTACAATAGGTGCTTTGTGAAACGCAAAACTAAATGTTAAAATCCATTCCTTGTTTTATGTTAAATTTCCAGGCCTTAATGAGAATATATCAGGTAACTTCTCTTTTTTAAGATTTTTTCTGATTTTCTAAACCTTTAAATAAGAAACTTGCATCTTTTTGAAAAACGCGAAAATAAACATTGCACCTCTGTTTTATGTTGAGTTTTCCTGGCACGGTTTTATGAAGATAGTTGCTGGAACAACTTCCATTTTCCTTCTTGGTTTTCCCTATTTTCGAAACACTCTGATAACTATCGAATCAAAGAAGTTTGCGTTGAAATTCAGTATTGCTTTATTCAAACATTGTTGGCAATCGATTTTTCGACACTGAAATTGAGCATCTGAGTTTCACCTGGATTCTGTCCTGGTTATTCTTGAGAGTTGAGGGATCAACACACGTGGCTTTCTCCTTCAATACTTGTGTGCTTAGATTCTTAATGGAGAATGAACGATAAATTTTGTTTTACAATGCAATAAAAGTAAAATTTCCTCTTTGGGTTTCACACGTATCTTAACAAAATAACGTAGAGCACTGGGACCTATGTTGATTCTGAATTACTATATGTCAGCGGGTTATCATTTATTCATATTTTTGTCATGTAAACCTTGCTATGAAAATTTTTAATTTCACGTGTTTTTCCGCGCGAAAGATGAGCAAGAAAAAGCTCGATAGCTTTCAGTTGTGTGAATTATGTGGAAGACTGGTGTATTCTCGTCAATTAGCTGATCACAGGGCGGTATGTGGAGCAGATTCGTCCAGCGAAGATCATAAGTGCGCGTTCATACAAGATGGTGTCCTGCACGCTCTCGTTGTGGAGAGGAACAACAAAATGATTTCAGGTTCGTCAGATAGAAGTGATCTAAGGTTAATAGTGATGTTGTTTTTAAGTTTAAACCAAGTTTTTGCTCTAAATCAATCTTAGAATTGAGTGGTTTCTGAATTGAAAGTTTTTTGTTGGTTGGAACGATCGTGGGTCCAAGGAGAAAAATGTGGGTCGTGGGTTTTTCCTAATTGAGATTAGGTTGGGGTTATTCTGACGGTTATTCCCTCCAAACAGGATCTAGTTCCTGGAGTCTTAAATCTTAAACAGAATAGATGAATTTTAAGAGTCTTGGACAGGGTCTCTCACCAGACTCAAGGCCTGGAATGGGGTTAGAATGTTGCCAGTGAGGACTCTTTAGATACATTTCTGGCCAAATTTGTTAAAATTTTACAGTAAATATTCTTTGGATCTTCCAAATATCTATGAGGCCATTGTAAAACAACTTTAGAGTAGGAGAGAAGTGATAACAAGGCCTGATCTGTCACTGATCAGTCATCACAAGCCCCAGTCATTCTTAAACCTCAGTAACCAGAATGACAGGATTTTTATATAGACAAGACCTCCCAAAGCTATTACTGGATGCTTAGAAGGGGTTTAAGTTTAATTTCTACGGTTTAATTGTGATTATATCAGATAGTAAGCTGCCACTGCCATCTCGAAAGAATGTGATTTTGCTGAACAGTAACACAATGAGGGAGTGCAACCTGCCCATTGGAAAAAGAGTTGTGTTGAGGTCAGACCAAAAAAGCTTAGAGGTAAATGTTTCAGAAAAAGGCTTATAATTTTTTACATGGTTCATTTTTAGTGTATGAGTATGATAATAAGATCATTGTATATTACATTGGCAGATTGTCTGTATGGCATGGCCTTCATCAGGAGTCTCCCCAGAGTGTAGGTGGATAACATTTGATTTTTTCATCAATGTTCCAATGGCTTAATTTATCAAGGGCATAAAATTATTGCTGCTGGTAATTACTGATTAATAGTGTTCTCCACCCAGGTGTGGCATTATCACAACTGTCTCTTGAGAATCTGCAGGTAATCTCTTTTATTTTTGTTTCTTATTATGAAGAAAAGTTTGTAATTTTATTCAACAAGGCCCTATTCACTAAGTTTTCCCATTTTTTAGGTTTCAGGAGGTGAATTCGTCAGCATTAGAGCACTGAAAAAGCTGTGGTTACATGCTGCAAGGGTGGAACTTGAGTTGTGGTAAATGGTTGATTCTTTTCCTTTTTCTATCATAGCAGTAAATGCAATCCATCTTTATGTGCACTCTGGTTACAAGAATTAACCCTTTACACCCTAACATCAGTATGCATATTCTCCATACTGTTCTTTATACATTTCTTAAGGTGCTGACAGGGAGAATTTGTTTGCCAATCAAAAGCTTCTTTCATTGGTGATCATTTCCTTTATTCTCATGACCCTTTATATGTGATTTAGGAGTGATATTGTTGGGAGAAATTAAATGCTAGTCACCCTAGGGGTTAAAGGGTTACTAACAGCCCAGAGAGGGTAGAGACATTTTCAGGCCAACTGAAGGAGAGCCTTGTTCCACAATGTACTGTGCTTCATAGATAAAATGTTGCTGAATAATCTAACAGTATCTCACAGTACAAGAGTTGACATGAATTATACATTGCTGTTTGTATGTGCAACTGGACAAAATGCATTAAGGGAGATGGGGATGACCCAATTTGTTCTCAGTCAGTTAGTGGTAGCAGCTCCCTCACCAATTAACAGGGCTTCCTGCCCAAAAATAAAAGATTTACTTACTTTTGTTTCATTCTAGCGATGCAGTGGAGTTTGAAGTGAATCAACTGTTCACTGATTATTGTCTTCAAGATTTACGTAAGTACTAATAGGTTTCTCTGACCTATGTTACTTCTTCAACAACCTAAACCAATGAGATTCTCTTCTGTTTGACATACCATTTATATTCCTGGAACCTGACTGCAAATTTTTTCTCTTTCTGCATGTGACTGTCAAGATACCAAATATGTTACAATTGCGTGTGTATGGCAATGAATATTCATGGAGGGGGGTAGGTAGACCATATTGTAAGATGCCAATTGGTTGAGTCGTGCAAGACTGTTACTCCCAATCCCTGCCCAACCCTACTGGGTACTAAAGGTTGTATTTATCTCTTGGGGGACTGTTTATTAAACTTGTTCAAAACCATTGCAGGGAATCAATATGTCTGTCCTGGACACAAATTAGAAGTCACATTCTATGGCAGAGCCCGGCAGCTAATGGTTATAGGATTAACTGGATCCTGTACACTTGATACAAACTCAATTTCTCCAGCTGAATTTAAGCCCCAGCAAATATTTTCTAACACTTCAACTTCAAAGCTTACAGACAAACTGGAAAGGCTCAGCCTTAAAAGAGGAACAAGAATGGATGCAAAAGCTGCTATGTCGTGTGATGTTGAAGATTTGACAATTCGGAGGACTTTGTCATCAAATTATCAAAAACAAAACTACACTGAGGACGAATTAGTTGATGCGGAATCAAAAGAAAAAAGTGAAGGATCTCTGCCACAATCGTATCATGCAAAGGCGAAGATTGAGCACGGATGTGGAAACACTTTGCGGTCAGATGTCCAGCCAAACCAACGTGATGGTCTGTCAGTATTTTATTATATTTCACCAGAAGAAACACGTCTGACAATTCACGCTCGCGGAGTGCGTCAAACTGAGCATAGCGTGCTAAAAAATAAAGTAACTTTTAAATCTATCGGAGGACTTCATAAGCAAGTTGCGCTGGTGCGTGAAATGATCGAACTTCCTCTTAAGCATCCTGAAATGTTTACAAATTACGGTAAGTTGTTGTTAAATAACAAGTGAGTTCCTTTAAAGGCAAAGGAAGGGGGATTCTCCATGAATTAGGGTAACCAATATTCTATTAGAGTAATTTTCAATTTCTATCGAAAGTAATCCGTGATTGCTTTGGTTTTCCTATAATTCGCTCTTTGATTGGTTCAGAAAACTCTCACCACTCTCTTAACCAATCAGATGCAAAAACTACGACTTGGTCGTCTGCGTTTTCCCGCGCTTTTGGCAGTTTGGTTGTTTTTACTGTTGTCTTCATGGACTCTTAAAAATGTTTTCCTTTCTTCTGACTG